TCCCTACATTCTTGCCAATACACTACATTTGAAAATATGTATTTATGATTTTTAAATTAAAAATGAAATATTTTGTGTTTACTCTATATTTGTTTGATTACGAGGGAATTTGAACATTGTTCCGTAGATTTATTGTACGTGTGGGGTTTTTAAATTCTTACTTGTCAGGAGTTCATTTGCCCATTTTGCTAGATTTTTATTGACTTATAAGAGTTTTTCATTTGAAGAATATTAACAAATCGACTTGTATATGGAAAATTTTTTTTTGTTTTTTACCTTTTTATGGTGTGAGACATTGAAACTTATAATTTTTAAATCTGATTTTGTGATTTTTTTATCTTTGGTATTTTTACTTAAGAATTAATTTTTCATTGCAAGATAATGACTACATTATATTTTAGTCGTTTTATGGTTTTATTTTTACATTTCAAATTTAATCAATTTGTTATATTTAGCATTGACTGGGAGATTGGGGTCATTTAATTATTATTTGTTCCAGCATCATTATTTAATAATCCTTTTCCCCTTTGATCTAAATTCCACTTTTTTCATATAATAAAATTGACATACAAAGGATCTGCTTCTGGACTCTGTGCTGTTCTGCCTCTCACTGCACCAATAAGACTCAACTTCACGCATGGGAGTAAATACTTAATAAATACTGATATCTGATAGGAAAGCCATCCTTTATTACTATTTCTTAATTTTTTTCAAAATTTTTCTGACTAATACATTTACTCTTCCAAATAAAATTTGGACATGTCATTCTAAAATGCTAGTATTATATTTTTGGTTATTATTTCTCACCCTCTTAACTTGAAGCCCCAGCCAATCTATTCTGTACCCTAGTGAATCCTAGCCTGATTATAGTTCAACTGCAAAGTGCTAAATAATAATGATGATGGCAATAAATCCTATTTGCCACGGCTTCTCGAAATTTCAAACGTCGATATGTTAATATGATACTAATTTCAGATTTGTCACTCCAGAAAATGAACATGGAAACTCTCCCCTTTAAGAAGTGTCACTGTCTTTTCAGAGTGTAGAAGGCGAACACCATGAGAAAGCTGTGGAACTCCTCAAGGCTGCTAAGGACAGCGTCAAACTGGTGGTGCGGTACACCCCGAAAGTCCTGGAAGAAATGGAGGCTCGCTTTGAGAAGCTACGGACAGCCCGGCGTCGGCAGCAGCAGCAACTGCTAATTCAGCAGCAGCAACAGCAGCAGCAGCAACAAGCGCAGCAAAACCACATGTCATAGGTGAGACGTGCCTTCCTCTGTACAGGGAAAGTCCATTGCATATTCCAGTGTTTGTTTTTTAAATATATTTTTATTGATTTCAGAGAGGAAGGGAGAGGGAGAGAGAGATAGAAACATCAATGATGAGAGAGAATCAATGATCAGCTGCCTCCTGCACGTCCCCCTACTGGGGATCCAGCCTACAACCTGGGCATGTGCCCTGACTGGGAATCGAAGAGAGACCTCCTGATTTATAGTCAATGCTCAACCACTGATACATACCGGCTGGGCTAGTGTGTGTGTGTGTGTGTGTGTGTGTGTGTGTGTGTGTGTGTGTGTGTGTTTTAATATGGTTTCTTCACTGGGATAAAATTATTAGATTTAATAATTAAAAATACAGTCAAACAAATAACAATCTCAGAAAATGTAAATGCAATAGACGCTTGCTTTATGTGTCATTCAGCCACATTCTTTGCAAATGCAAGATATTTTGGAAAATAATATACTTTGCGAGGACCAGGTACAGACGCTTGTTACCCTTTTACAAATTAGGAAAATGCAGCCTCCGTGCAAACCCAGAGCCTCAGGCACAAAGCCAGATGACCAGGGTGCAGGCTGAAATCAGCCCCCCGGCTCACTCCCGCGGCCGGTGGCCTTGGCACAGTGCCTATACTCAACTACCTCTAGTGCTGAGGCTGGAAGACCCCGTTTGGTTAGAAAACTGCTTCACTGAAAAGAGTGAAGTAGAGGCTTGTCGGTGTCCATGCTAGGAAAGATTTTAAAATTCTCTTTAGATGTTCATTTAGAATGTGCCCGAAATGCACCTGCCTTTTCCTATACTTCACTTTGTGGCAAAGAATACTAATATTTTTCTATATATCTTAAGAAAATTCAGTAAAAAAAATCTTAAGAGCCTTTGAAGTATCTGCTATGTGCTAGACCCTTTTCACATGTTTATCCCTCGCCCTCAGAAGAACTCTTTAATGTAAGTATTATGAAAACCCACTTTTTAAGATGAAGCTTCAGTAATTTCAGTGGAGTCCCCACAACCATAGTTACAAGTAGCACAGAATTATTTTACTTTTCGCTCTACTAGGTATTTCATCTGCCAACATCAGGTATTCTGGAGTCATCTACATTTATCTTGCTATCTTTTGGAGGCCACAGCTTATATCATTAGATATCCCTACACTATGACATCTGCAAATGTGTGTTTGAAGTGAGGTTCAAATGCTCTTAGAAAAATGACAAGGGGTAGTGATGATTTTAACTCCTTCAATGTCAGATTATTATTTGCACAACCAGAAACATTGGATATGACATGAGACTTTCAATTTTTTGTGACACTTATGAAAAGTAGAAGCTACATGGAGAAGTCAAGAGTATGGGATTTGTCCTCAGAGAGTTGGGAATTCAACAATCTATCTTGCTTTTATAGCCTCCTAATCTTATTATATATACATCTTACTTTGATGTCTCTATCTAAAACTCTGTTCCATGCTAAACGCTACATTTCCCAACAATAAATATTTATTTAGCACTACGATGGGCGAGGTACTGTTCAATAGGCTGAAGAACCAACACAAGCTAAGAAAAGTCCTTGCTCTCAAGGTGCTTACATCCTGGTTAGAGGACATAGTTAATAAACAAGTAAACTAAAATATCCTAGAGGGACCAGTATTTTGCCGAGTTAAAATTGGGTGCTTTGATAGAGACTGTTTAGATCATGACTTCCAATTAGGTGACCAGGGAAAACTCCTCAAAGGAGGTGACATTAAACTTGAAATTGAATGATTAGGAGAAGACAGAAATGAGTAGAAGAGGAGGAGAAAACAGTGTAGTAGCTCTAAGGCTGACATGAGCTACTTGATGTTTGAGAAGCAGAAAGAAAGCCAGGGTGGTTAGGGAATAATGAGAAGGACAGTGAAATAGATGGAGGTCAGGTCACAGAAAGCTTTTTAAACCACTGAAGGAAGTTAGATTTTATTGCAATTGAAGCCACTCAAGGTACTTAAGGAGGGGAGTGCCATGATCTGATTTAGGTATTAAAAATGATAACTCTAGCTGCTACTGAGAGCATAGATTATCGCAGGGTAAGAGTGAAAACAGAGACCAATTAAGAGGCTATTAGGAGTCTAAACAAGAAATGTAGTGGTTTGGAATAGGATGATACCATCAAGAGAGAATGCTGTGGATGCACATGGACAACTAATGTTGTCCATATCCTTCTCTCTCATCCATTCCGAACGTAACGGTACTTTACATTTATACTTTCAAATCCTTTCAAACATCTCTTTGCTAATAACAATTCACTATTTTTTAGTCAAGCATTGACACTCATTTCACTAACTCATTTTCTTCCATCCTCAATATTATAGATTTGTACCAATTCTGCTCATTAACATGCCACTAGCCCACAGTAAATTTTTTCTGAGGTATTTTGAAAGAAATATGTTGCCATTCTGACTTCTGAGGTCTTACTAAAAACTTACAGCATTATGCTCACTCAATCATCTTCGGAAGTATACAGCTTGGCCATAAATAGGTATTTGCTGAGCCATAAACTCAACTTCATTTCTCTGTTCCATCAGCCTTCATTAAGTCACTTCAGAATTTCCTACTGTCTCACCACCAAAGACTAACATTTTTAATAAAAGGCAATTATAAATGGTGTTTTTTTTCTTGCACATGATGTGGTAAAGCTCTACTTAAGTGAACATTAACTTTATATTTACTCGCCAAGACAACAATTTCAATCTTACACAGGCATGGACCCTTGAGATAAAACTGTGGTGACCATTTCAAGTACACGCAGAATAAAACCAAATCATCTCACCCAGGGATTTTATGGTGAATTTATAGTCAGAGACCTACATTAGCTCTTGTTCAACTTTTAATTAATTAAGATTTTTAAGGATTAAATGAGATTTGCTACACTTGCTAACTCATGCTATGGTGGCTTTTGCAAAGACATTTGAAGCTAATTTGACATATTTACTTTGAACAGATCTCTGATATTTTTTAAGTATGACAAATCAAGGAAAGATTAGGTAAAGCAAAAGACTTGTCAGATATTACCTTATGCTTATCACACAAAATATAATTTCTATTCTCTAAATTAAAAATAACTTTTTTAAAAATCTGAGATGGTATAAATTATGGAGTAATTAGCATGGTAACTCCTGGATACAAATGAAAAATATGTTGCATGTGGATATTATGTAGAGAATATCCCTTATACCTACTTCTAATATTAACTTTATTGAAGTAAAACACAGTTGTTTTTTTTCTCCAGATTTCATGTTTAGTAATAAGAAAGAATAGATTACATTTCCTAAAATGTGGTAAATATGATCACTATATACTTATATTATAGAATCTTAAACAGAGAGTATGAACATAGGGTTTTTTTTTTTTTTATCTATACTCACTTTTCAAAATTTTATTTTTCAATTACAGTTTAAATTAAATGTTATTTTGTATTAGTTTCAGGTATACAGCCTAGTGGTTAGACAATCATGTCCTTTACAAAGTGGTCCCCCCAATATTGCAAGTACCCACCTGGCACCATAGGTAATTATTACAATACTAGAGGCCTGGTGCACGAAATTCATGCACTTGGGGGAGAGGTCCCTCAGCCTGGCCTCTGCCCTCTCACAGACGGGGGCCCTCAAGGGATGTTCGGCCTTCATGGGATGTCCAACTGCCACAAAGGCAGGCGAGGCTCCTGCCACCGCTGTGCTCGCCAGCCGTGAGCCCGTCTTCTGGCTGAGAGGCACTCCCCCTGTGGGAGCGCACTGACGTACTTTACATCCCCATGATTGTTCTGTAACTACTAATTTGTAGTTCTTAATCCATTCACTTTTTTCCCCTCACTTCCCCAACCCTCCTCCCCTCTGGTAACCATCAGTCTGTTCTCTGTATCTGTGAGTCTGTTTCTATTTTGTTTGTTTATTCACTTTGCTCTTTAGATTTTATATGTAAGTGAAATCATATAGTATTTGTTTTTCTTTATCTGACTTATTTCACTTGTAGGTCCATCCAAGCTATCACAAATGGTAAGATTTCATTCTCTTTTATGGTCAAACTGGAGGCCTGGCGCACAAAATTTGTGCATGGGGGTGTGATTCTCAGCCCAGCCTGCACCCTCTCCAATCTGGGATCCCTCTCACAATCCAGGACTGCTGGATCCTAGCCGCTCACCTGCCTACCAGCCTGATCACCCCCTAACCACTCCCCTGCCAGCCTGATCGATGCCTAACTGCTCCCCTGCTGGCCCGATTGCCCCTAACTGCCCTCCCCTGCAGGCCCGGTCCCCCCCAACTGCCTTCCCCTGAAGGCCTGGTCCCCCCTAACTGCCCTCTCCTGCAGTGCTGGTCTCCCCCAACTGCCCTCCTCTGCTGGCCATCTTATGTCCACATAGGGGTGGCCATCTTTGACCACATGAGGGTGGCTATCTTGTGTGTTGGAGTGATGGTCAATTTGCATATTACCTCTTTATTATATAGGATAATATTCTATTGTATCCAATAGTCTATTGATGGGCACTTGGGTTGCTTCCATTCATGGCTTTTGTAAATATCACTGTAATAAACATAGAGGTGCATATATTTTTTTGAATTAGTGTTTCTGAAGTATTACATTAATTCAGCTTTAAGCATCTTATTTTTTTAAGACTGACTTTATATACATCCATAAAATATGGAAATATATATTTTATATTTTACCTAGATTCCAAATAATAAAAATAGAAAGAAAGAAGAGTATCTGAGATGTCAGCATTATGAGGAAGTTTAGACCACACAAGCCTTTTTTATTTCTCTGACCTCCTGTTGCTGGAACAGAGATGGAGAATTCATTTATATTCAAAACCAGGAAGGATCTTAGCAGATGTACAAAGTGGCTGGCATTTGCCAGAGGCCTCACTGACTCTTTTTTGTCCTCCTGCTCTTCAAGCCCTCATTTCCTTATTTTGTCCACCACTGAGTGTTCTATACCTTCCAGCACCATGGCCTCAGCCATGGCTGGATGGTTTGATCCAGGGAACACTGCCAGAGCTGCCAGCCAGGCACTGGTAGGACCAGGTCCCAGAGGATGATCAATAAAACTAAATCTAAGGAACCCAGAGTAACCAAGCTAAAAACTGGACCAGAAGTAACCATCATGATGCTGGATGCAATGCATTAAACTGTTAGGCTGTGCCAAGAGCTCTTTTAAGAACTTCATATATGTCCTGGCTGGTTTTACTCAGTGATCAGAGTGTTGGCCTGGGAACTGAAGGGTCTTGGGTTGGATTCCAGTCAAGGGCACCTACCTCGGTTGCAGGCTCTATCAGGGCCTGTGCGGGAAGCAACTAATCCATGTGCCTCTCTCATATCGGTGCTTCCATCTCTCCTCCTCCCTTCCATTCTTTCTAAATATCAATGGGAAATATATCTTTGGGTGAGAATTAACCAAAAAGAAAAAAAAGAAAAAGAAAAAAGAAAGAAAGAACTTCATATATATTAAATTGTTTAATCATCACAATAGTCCTATGGATATTAGGTACTGTTTTTAAACTCATTTTAAAGAAGGAAACTAGTCATGTTGAATTTTTAAAAGTTGACAGAATGTTTTTCAAAGCTTGTAAGCAATAGGGTAGTGATTCATAAACATGGGCTTCAGAGCCTCTGTTTCCTAACCACTCGGCCTCTTTCTTCAATGGCACCTGCCCTCAAATTCCTCTGTTTCTCCTCACAGACACATTCCCACGAGCTTTCCAGAAATTCGTTCTCAGGCCGCTTAGAGTTGGAGCTATCCAACTCACCCTCACCACTTACTTTCAAAGCAGTGCCCCATACTTCAAAGCACTTCATTATCACAGCCTATTAGTTTCCCATAGCTGCCCTAAAAATTTACCACAGATTTCGTTACTTAAGAAAACACAAATTAATTATCTTGTAATTCTGTAGGACAGATATCCAACATAGTCTCACTGGGCTCTAGGAGACTCTGGGTGGACATCATTTCCTTGCCTTGTCCAGTTCCCAGAGGCTTCCTGCATTCCTTGCCTTGTGGTCCCATCGTCCATCTTTCAAACCAGCAATGGTGGCAGAGACCTGCACTGCATCATGCACTGCATCGCTCTGAACTCAGTGTCCATCATCACATCCCCTTCCATCACTCTCTTCTCATCACCTCTTCCACTTTTCATTATACTGGGCCCACCTGGACAATCAGGATAACCTGCCTATTTTAATATCAGCTGTTTAGCAGCCTTCATTCCATCTACAACCTCAATTTCCCTTCACTGTGGAATCTAACATATTCACTGGTTATGGGGTCCATTATTCTGCTTACCAGAATGGCCCATTTAAAAGTTAGCAAAGTGCCCGGCTGGCATGCCTCAGCAGTTGATCATCAACCTGTGAACCAGGAAGTCACAGTTCAATTCCTGGTCAGAGCACATGCCCAGGTTGTGGGCTCGATCCCCAGCATGGGGCATGCAGGAGGCAGCCAATCAATGATTCTCTCTCATCATTGATGTTTCTATCTCTCCCTTCCTCTCTGAAATCAATAAAATTATATTTTAAAAATAAAAATAAAAGCAAGGCAAATTAATCAATAGAATTTAAACTAATGTGGGAAATAAAACACTAACCTACTGAACTATAAATCTTGGGAAAGAGGAAAATATGAGACACTTGGAGCAGATGGTTCTCCTTGGGCACTATAGTGACCCACATTGTGGGTGTCCAGGGTCCCACAGGCCCACTCCCCCTCTTGATGGATGAGGAGACCCAAGACTCTTACTAAAATGTAGTTGTTCTGAGACCCACTTCTTTGGGAGATGTAAATACATGTATGATAAATAAATTTATTAAGAACAGAATCTCTAGATCTCTGCCATTTGGGGCTAACAGGAAGTTATTTAATCTAAGGTTCAGTGAAACAGTCTGTTGTGGAGATTAAATAAGCAAAAACATGTAAAACTCTGACCAAAACATGTGGCAAGTAAATGAGCACCCAGTAGTAGTCGTCATCATCACAGTCGCCTGTGTTGTAGTTGTTAACATGTTCTTGACGGATGTCATGTGCACTAGTGATGTCTTGTTAGGTGTCTTCTGAAGAAGCGCAGTGGCCTCGTGCCTGGTTTCAGTTCCACTGTGTGAGCCCACGGGCTTTGAGGCACACCTCTGGAAGGTATGGCAGCTGGAGGGTGCAAGTACCCACACACACACACACACACACACGCACACACGCACACACGCACACATGCATACGCACGCATACATATGCATACACATACACACATCAACCAGAACAATTTGTTAACACCTGTTTTGTATATTGTTGTGCTCTGCATTCATAGAAATAAAAAATATTTGCAGCTTTAAAATCAAAGGTTGAAAACCAGTGTTCTCTCTGAAAGAAATGACTCATCACGGTGGAAGAGTGACAGGTCTCAGAGGAGAGTTTGGGGAAGGCTGGTCTCCCAAACCTGACCACATGGGCAGCTGCCCGCTCGGTTGTAGCTGATGTCAGGCTGGCCTTGTGGGAGGAGAAACAGACTTAATATCTGCTTCGGAAGAGAAATATTGGTGCTTCCCGCAAGAACACCACTAACTGCCCCTCAGAGTCTTATAAAGCTTAGCTATTCTTTGTCTTCATGAAAGAAAAAAAAAGTTACCTGGAATTGGGAGGAAGAAATGTTTTACATTTAAGATGTTTCCAAACTGATGTTATTTCATTTTAGGGAAAAGCTGGTGTCCTTTCCATCCTCATTCAGCAATTACTTCCTTTGCAAACATCAGTGCTTGTTTTTTTGTTTTTTTCATAGATGGAAGATTGTGTATGAATGGTAGCGCCCAAAATAGTCCTTGCTGTTCTCACAGAGCACATGCTCTTTTGATATTTTTAGCAAATTGTAGTTGATAAATGAATGCTAATCACCGATTCCTCTTCACTCTTTTTCCTCTTTCAGGTCCTTGAAGTAAAGCTACTTGATCAAACATCCGATAGTCACAAATTTGAAACCGTGCTTCTGAATCCCAGCACATAGTAAAAAGAAAAGACAACACTGATAATTATACCTGTCAAGAAGCTGTGAACGCGTGGTGTGTAAATTCTTTACCAAGGCAACTCGACACCTTCTTTATCTGGGCTGGACCGGGCTGCTCGCTGCTCTTCACACACACAGACCTTCCATTCACTGCAGTGGGAATTCTGTGTGCCAGTGGAGAGGTTTTCCAGTCTGCAGACTGAAACAGTGTAAGAATAAAGTCCATGACTTTCAGATTAATCACCAGGGCCAGGATTAAGTAAACCTTGGGTCTATAGCTTTTCCAGAGATGAACAAAACCCTCATTAGGCTATAGTTCAAACTGCATCAGTTCAATATTGTCGCCACTTAAAACCTACACATTGCTCCTCACCCTGACCTGTTTCATGTCCATACTGCTGAGCTGTCAGAATTAGAAATTGAGTTAATTGCAAAGTCAATATCTTTCCCCCACTTGAAAACAAGTTATTATACTATATTTATACTCTCTTCTGGTTCCTGAAGCAATTGGCTTTTTGTTTTGTTTCCTTGAATTTTATTATGCATTAATAGAGTAGGCCGATATAGCTCAACTTTTAGTTTGCTAGAAGCAAGGATAGAGAAATCAAGTACTGTATTTTTTTTTAATTTAAGCATTGCTTGTATCTATTATTAATTCTAACAGAATATAATGTATATTTATTCCACAAAATATATATTATGAGAGTGTATTTGTTACAAACTTAGGTCTTTCCTTACCAAATATTATGAATCTGGTAGAAGATCATTATTAGCAAAGGACCTGGTTTCATGAACTGATCCTCATATGATATTTATATATAACCCTGCACTCAATATTATTTTTTAGGTTTTCTATTTTTGATTGATAAGCTCTAGAGAAATCTTTGCTCTTTCTACCTACATTGATGTGCCGTCATAGAAGTCTATTTGATATTTTAAAGCTTGCAGCTTTAACAAAAACTAAATTATAATACGTGTGCATATATATACAAATATGTATGTCATACAAAGTTTACATAAGTTTCTTCAAATATAAAATGGATATTTTTGTCAATCTAAGATCCAAAGCATTATTCCTTTTGAAATTAGGCATATGTAAACCAGTGATAATAATATTGTAAATGAAAAGATACTGCTGCTTCGAGGGGGTAAAGATACCGCCTTCATTCCATGATTCATGTAAGCAAATAGACAATGAGATAATCATCTTTCAGAAACTCTAATTTACTGGGAAATGATCTGTTAGAGCCACAGGTACAGATGATAATTTTTGACTTATGGTTAACCTAGGCACATAAGTCTGATTTTACTCTATGGAATGAATAGGAAGCAATAATTATTTGGGTACTTAAATATCTTAAGCACACAAGTGTACCTGGAAAACGAATAAATATCCAGTTGAAGTATTCTAGATCATTAAAACCGAAGCAAGTATTTGCATATTCCCTCTTCTCAAATGCAGAAATTGATCACCAAAGATCAAGTAAAATTCACATTTCAGACAGTCCTCCAAATTAAAAATCTATAAAGCTCCGTGTAGGAACTGTTTTCATGAAAATAAATGAATCAGAATTACTCTACACATTTTAGTTTGCCCTCTCAGGGGATGATGTTGTCAATGCCAAGTTCTGCCTACTCTTCATAGCCCCTCACCCAACAGAGGATAAACAGCAAGGAAACTAGGAGGTGCACCAACTTCAACAAGATTCTGCTGTAATAACAGATTCTCAGGCTTGAAAACATCATTTTTTTACTAGATAGAGCTGGGTGGAGGGCAAGACTGAGGACTCTGAATATTGTGTAAAATAGGTTTGCAAAAGAGATAAGCAAAAGGAACAAATGGCTACTGCTTGAGTATTATTCAGTTTGAAAGAGGTAGTTCTCATTTTTATAAGAAAAAATTAATAAAACATATATTTTAGCTATTATTTAACAAAGAAATATTAAAGGTATTCAGGCAATGCCACTGATTCTCAGAAAGGGAAGTCATTGAACCTTTGTAATGAGGAAATGGTCATTTTGACACATTTTAATTCATTGTATAAATTTGGAGCTTAAGGTATGTTTTTATTTAGCTGTATTTGGTTAATGTTAAATTATCATGTTTTAACATCAATATAAATATTTTCATGGAATTACAGAACAATTAACAAATGAGCAGATACGTTACATTTGTGTTTTCTAGAAGTCCTTGTATTTTTGTGCTTCATTTGCATAAAGATAAATGCTAATAAATGTATGCCAGGCCCTTTGTCACAGTGGAGGGGCAATCCATCACACCCAAGAAATCTAAGGACCAATTACATGTCCCAGTGTTTCTGCATACAAGTGTCCAGTCCAATGGCCACATTTTTTCAGTAAAATCTAGTTGTTGAAATGTAAATCTCCCCCTAAAGTTTTAATCAAAAGTAACTATGCCTAAGACTTAGAGAGGGGAGGGGAAAAATAAGCGCCCAACTGGCGTGGCTCAGTGGTTGAGCATTGATCTTCCTGGTCAGGGCACATGCCCAGGTTGGGGGCTTGATCCCCAGTTGGGGGCGTGCAGGAGGCAGCTGATCAATGATTCTCTCTCATCAGTGTTTCTGTCTCTCTGTCCCTCTCCCTTCCTCTCTCTCTAAAATCAATAAAAACATGTTATAAAAAACAAAAGACTTAGAACACTTGTGGTTCTCTAAAGTTTCCCTGAACCTATACATAGGAAATGGGAAAAGTGTCAACTTGTCTTAATGCTCTTTATTATTAATGATCATATTAATCACTACTCTTATGTCCAAAATCATATTTAAGATATAATAGTTGCTCTTACATGAAGCTCAGTCTCTAATATGATAAACAAATTAGATATTAAAAGTTATGGGAGGAGTGGGTCTGTTGTTACCATCCCTCAGTGATCCTGGTGAATTTTAGTTCTTTCTCTCGGTTAGATTGGTGGCTGGATTTTTCTAAACTCTTTTTTATTTTATTTTTTTACTTTGAAGGCAAGTACCTGTACCAAACTTTTTCACTGGGCATTTATCTTTTAATTCTGATACCATTTGAAATTGAAATTGAACATCCTTGGGGAGATAATGAGTTCAAATTACAATTGACTTTGGAAAGAATAACAGACTTTCCATGCTTCATGTAATCAATAGGAAATTCTCTGTGAATTACCACTATTTTGTAAGACAATGCTAAGGTCTAAATACAAAACCTAGCACCTTGGGGCTTCAAGCCTGTCTCTGAAGAACTTGCCTACAGATGAATCGCACCAATTTACAAATGAAGTTTTCAACCAGGACAAATCAAACAGGTCTGATAGCAGTGTATTTTACTCAGCTGTGTCTGTAGGACTCCAAGACGTTGTAATGTTTTGTGGACATTATTTTAAACATCTATAGATGTTTGTGGATATGTGAATAATACCTGAATTTCTCAACTTCTAGCTAGCATGTATTTAGCCTACAGACTCAGCCTGTTAGACCAGCTTTAGAAAGCATTGCAGAGTGAAAAATCAATGCTCTAGGGTTCAGGAGGCCAGCATAAGGCAAGATCTCCCCAATCTTGGGATGGTCCTACCCATCTCGACCCTCTCTCCATCAAAGACTCAATGAGGCAGGGCTGTGACTGTCTTGTGGACTGCCGTATCCCTGGCATCTGATACAAGGTCTGGCCCAATGTAGGCAATCAATATTCATTGAATGAATGAATGACAGAACAGGTGGATACACAAATGAATAATTTTTCCTTCTGGTCACTTGAAAATTTTTACCAACTTATACTAATTGGCACTATAATTTATGAATTTCATAGTGAGAATTAGAATAGACTCTTCATAAATATTTTCTAGATATGAGTTTGGAATCAATTACTTTGAAGGCTTTAAGTATTTGAGGACATTTACACAAGGAATGATTTGGGGATTCAGAGTTTCCATAATGAGTGAAATTCAACCTTTCTAGTTCTTTATGAAAGGACCTTGGCAAGGATAATCTAAACATGGAATTTCATTAACAAATTTTATAAAATATATGTTTTTATTTTTTAAAATAAGAAAAGTCACATCCTCAAGCATGTTATTAATATCCCCTTTGATATTTATTAACTTTTTTTCTAAGGAGTTCATAGTAAGTGGAGTTACCATCCCTAAATCTTGCCTTGCTTTCACGAGATCACTCTCATATTTGATTCCTAGAATGTACCTGAATTTAAGCTTAATCACACAGCTATTAAGACTTTTTCATGTGTTTATTCATTTACCAAATGTTCATTGTGTAACTAATATGTGGTAGATTCTGGAAATACAATGGCAAACAAGACAGACACAGTGCCCTCATGGAGCTTACTGTGAGGAACTACTCAACACTTACACTAGCAATAACTAGAGTTTCCTGTTCATCAGGTTCCTTGATAAAGAAACTAAAAGCCCTAACCCCATGCAAATCATGAAGACTTCGTGCACATATTCCTGAGCTGGGTTTTCTAAACACACCACTCAAAAATGCTGCTTAGTCTATCCATACACCATAGTCATATCCCAATGAGGTACGTAAGTATAATTTACTCAGAACTAACATTTAGCTCTTACTGGGTTCTACTGTGCTCAGTACTTTCATAGACTCTCTCACTGAATCCCTTCAACAATTCTACTAAGTAGTTTCCATGTTATAGACAAGAAAACTGAAGCACAGAATGTGACTTGTTCAAGGTCGCACAATTAGCAGATGGAATTAGGATTTGAACCCATGCACTGTAACACAGGAGCTCATGTGTCTAATCATCATCTGTGGCTTGGGGGACACCATTACATTAACATAAATGAGTCACTGTATATAAAATACTTTGAAATTGTAAAGTAGTATACAAAAAGATATTTGTAAAGTATTCATAGTCAACAAACCATGTAAGTGGCAGAAACAAAACACAATCTTATGTTGTAGCTTCCTTTCATGAACACTTCAAGCCAGAGTAGTGGATAAAAGTACAGGTCCAGGAAACTTCTGACATGTGATAAATATTCTAATGATTTTTCAGAATTATTGATTGTTAGCCACTGTGTCTATTTGGTGCTACAAAAAAAAAAACCACAAAAAAAACCCTGAAAGAAACAAAATCCCTTGCTACAAGGGCTTATAATAAATACACAGTGTGGAGATGAACCAAGGATAGTTCACATTTATAGGAAAAGATGGACAGTAGTACTATTTTCTCACCATTGCATGTGATTGTGTCTTTCCAATTGTTTTTATTATTTTTCTGAAAGAGCTGCAAAATTGTGCAGTGGTTCAACCTGACCAAAGTGGTATTATGCTGCTGGGAAGTAAAAATATTAAACACTAGATTGGAAGTATTGTCTTCATTGTCAAATGACTTTAAATTCTTTTAAAGCATGGACATAGAAGGATTTTTAGATGCTGAAGGCACCTGAATATCTGGACACCAACTTCCTCTATTCCAAACCATAGTGTGGGGTCATACAATTGAGCGGTTAGGTTCTGAAGCCAATAGGAAAGGCAAATTTAAGATTTGCCTGACTACAATCCAGTAGATCAATGTCCATACTTCCAGAGGTTAGCAGGAAACGACACCTTCTGTGGGAACAGTAAACTCATGGCTCCTTATCATTCACTCATAAAGAGGAATCACATGCATTATTTAAATTTGTTCTCTCTCTCCCCCTCTCAGTTAAATGGGCTTGTGATACAACTTCAA